TCTTCTTCAGGTCCCTCTCAACCCCCTGCAAAATGTGAACTAGTTTCTGTAGCCAAATGAGTTAGGTCAGAAGAGAATTCCAATTGATTTGAGAAGATCTGTGTTCTGAGAGCTCTGAATAAGGATGTTGGCAGCCTGTCTCCACACTGATCATTATTAAAGAACACCAACTCTATTCCATTGGTGGGTTTTCAGTTTACCTTACTATGTGCAAAACTGAGGAAGACACTATGAATGACAGGTCCTCTGGAATTCAGACTGGGAGCAAAATAGGCATGGATGGGTACCAATTTTGCCAGACTGCAGTAAACATTTTTTTTTTTTTGTCTTTTTCCATGTCCGGCAACGGATCGCAACCCTCAGTGTTGCCCCTGTACCGGACCGGGGACCGGCAACGGGATTGCAACCCTCGGTGTTGCTCCTGCACCTCGCTCAGCCAGTGAGCGGGAACCGGTCTGTATGTGGGATCCGAACCCTCGGGTGGGAGCGCCGCCGCGCTTCCCAAGCGGCGCACTATCCAGTGCGCCACCGGGCCGGCCCTGCAGTAAACATTTTGCTGGCTACCATCAAACAACACTCTCAAAGGCCAGCAGTGGAGGAGGAGAGAGCCACATGCTCGCATTTATGAGTTTCTCCTCTGCAGAGCTGGGGCAGAATGAGCCCTGGGAGACTGCAGAGGAGAAGGGTGGGATGTGGGGAAGTGGTGGGTGGGAGTGAGACCTGAAAGCACAGCACTGCTGCAGGGAAAGCTGTCTTTTCAAGCTGCTTGGCAATGGTCTGATTTCCATTTGCATAGTCCCCTGGGGGAAACAAACCAGTACAGCCCAGGGACCAACGTGCAGAGGCTCTCACAGAACTCATGGAGCCTCCTCAGGTAGAAATTGGCATTGAAGACTGCCTCGGCCATCCCTCTCCCTGCTTGGCTGATAGGCAAGGACATTAAGCAGAGGCCTTTTGGCTGCGAAGACACATTCTTGGCTGGGAAGTACAGCACCAACCTGGAAGTACTGTGTTGAGAATCCAGATTCCTGAGGAATGTATTTTCTCTGCCCACAGAAAAATAATCTCAGAGGAGCATCTGTTCCTTAAGAAAATGGTGTCTGAAGGCTCAGCCTGCAGGCAATTGCTGACCTTCTCATGCTGTCAAGTCCAGGTGGCTTTCGGTTATCTTAGTGAATGCCCCTTTCTGGAGAGAAGCTGTCTGGAGGATATCTATCTTGTTCCATGTCTCATTCATGGTGAGACATTTTCACCAGCAGAGAGTCCATGTATCTGGAGTTAATTTTTTCTAGCTATTCTTTTCCTGCCTGACCATCTTCTCTGTGTTGCCATAAGAAAAGGAGCAAGTGAGTCAGGGAAAGGAGGCTGGAGTTGGAATATCCTGAATATAAGAGGTGGGGGATGTCACATGGGGAGGTGCATCTTGACTTCCAGATAGAAAACAGTCATGTTCTAGAAATGTCTCCAATAAAGATGGGAGGCTGGGAAAGGGAAGGGAGGACAATGCTTTGCAGTCCATGGTCATTCCCAGTGAAAGTCAATGTGCCTGAAAATTGGGTTGTTCCATTGTCTCCAAATCTAATTGAAAGGTTTTGGGTTCGGTAAGAGTCAGGTCATATTTTGCCAAACATTTTTTCCCCTTAATTTCAAAGCCCCTGTGTATTTTAAGGGAAATTTAATCCACATGTTTCTGATTCATTTACACTTAACTCATCAAAATATTGTTTTGTAAGAGCCATTTGATGTCCAAGAAGCCTCAGGAACCTTTTTTATGAGTCTTTAAAAAAAACTTCTTCTGAAAAACAGGAAGTCATGTTTTGCCAATAATAAATGAACTTGAACCCCAAAAGGCTCAATTTTGCTTCAACATTCACCAGCCTCCAATTGGTTTTAAATGTGGCTAAGGACCTTGGCTCCACCCCAGAAACATACACTGTCTCAGCAGTATATGAAAAGAAGTCTTCCCTGTCAAAACTTGATTGTTCTCTAACAAGAAGACCTAGGGAGAGAACTGCCATTCTGCCAGTGTCCTAGTTTGTTAACTCCAGAACAGAAAGCAGAAAAGCACCTGCTGATGTTGGTATGAGTATCTAATTTTTTCACCTAAATCAGTCTTAAGAGACAATGCTCTGCTAGGTCAGAAATGAATAATACAAGAGGCTGCCATGACAGGCAGGGAGGAATCCTAGTCGAGGTTACACAACTGTCAGATATAAAAAGATTCCTGTGTTGAAAGGACACTGGGCCAAATGATCTCTAAGGGCTCTTTCCAAATGTATAATTCTTTGCATCCCTAATGCTATTTGCATATAGGGGTAATACCGTAGAAACTTTAGAATTCAGTAAGATAATATAAATGCAAATACCTGGCAGGATACTTGTAACATAGAAAGGGTTCGGCACACACTGGAATGCAGGAGTTGTTTTGATAGACACTTTCTTTGGGTTGCTCTACTAGTAAGTTTATACTTTCTCACCCGACCCCTGTTTTGACCCAGGACATCTGTTTTCAGAGTATTGGTCAAGGTTGAATAAATAGCGTGAAGTCAACATGTCCCCCACTCTGGGACAATTCTGTGACTCTGGCCTCATTGGCCACAAGTAAACTGAATGAATCAATAGTGCTTCCTTATGTCTGCTGTGGCAGAAGTGGGGGCACAGACAGGGCACATGGCTTCCCAGAGAGGAGAACAGACATTTCTCCTATCATTGTGCCCTACCTATCTGGGCACCTGACACCTGCTAACATGAGGAGACCTGCAACCTCAGCCGGCTCAGTGAATCCCTAGTGAGCTTTCTTTATGGATCTGATAGGAACAAAAAGACCTTCACGCCAATTATTAACATTATGGTCATATGCGGAATGGATTATGAAAGTCTTCTTTCTTTTCTTTTTAAGGGGAGAGAGGGAGAGGTTTTACTGATAGAAGCCCAGTGACACCACTTCCCCAGAAAGGTTCTGCGGTGACTTCTCACAGAACGGTCATATGCGGAATGGATTATGAAAGTCTTCTTTCTTTTCTTTTTAAGGGGAGAGAGGGAGAGGTTGTACTGATAGAAGCCCAGTGACACCACTTCCCCAGAAAGGTTCTGCGGTGACTTCTCACAGAAAGTAGAGGAGAGATGTAGAGTCTCACATCCAGATGTTTTAGTAACGTGTTTGAGGTCTCATGCTCCTAAGTGGTAGAATTCCTAACCCCTCCACCACACCACCTCCTTCTGGCTGATGTGGTGATGTCAAAGGGGGAAGAGACCGTAACTGTAAATCAGTAGTAAATTCTTGATGCCCTATTTCTTCATTCATTCTGCCACCCATTCATATGGAAAACATTTACTGAGATCTTCTTCATGTCAGTCACTATATTAGACACCAAGAATACAAAAATAAATGACACACTGGCCCTGAGTTCATGGTACACTCAGAATATTAATGACAACTTCCCATGAAAACATCAAAGACTGTGAGGATGAACACTGAAGTGAGACGACGTAAGGAGCCCTCTCTGAGGACACCTGAGTCCTGCTAAGCCCACTGCTACGGGTACTTTTCCCCTGGGTCCTCAGGCCAATAGTATAAAGGCCACAGACTGATGTGCTTTCCAACAGGGATAGAAGGTGCCAAGAGTAATTTTTCTCTCTTGAGGCTGGGAGTCCACCTTTTGGGTGGTTACCTCAGGGCCAGGGCAGAGACAAGGAATACAATGTTTCCTTGTGCGATGATCAGATAACTCCAGGCCAAGGCCATAAAGCAGTCACTCTCTGTCAGGTATTGGATTGAGCTTCCTGTTGAGCAAAAGGGATGTTGAAAGCCTCTGGCTGCTGCCCAAACCAGGCTCCCCTCATCCACAATAGGCACTTGTATCTACAGACAAGATAACTGGCCCCTGGCCCGCCTCTGTTCAGAGTGATTCTTTGAAAAATCTTATCATGATAAATTAAATGGCTTGGCTCCTCTCTCATCAAGGAAGGAGAAGGGGCATCTATTGTAACCCGACCACTTCGAGCTCTTTGTGCTACCTACTCCCCTTGATGAGCCCTGATAGGAGGGCGGAATAAGGGTCTGGCTGGAGGCACTTGCTTACCGGCTCTCCCCTCCACCCCTCCCAGGTTTTCTCTGCATTCAGAGAGAGAATTCTCTTTTCCGGGGTATCCTACTCCTCCTTAAACAGGACATGATGTAAGAAGGCCATATTTGGCCAGATGGGTTTTGCTTTAGGCCCAGTTTTAAATTTTTCCCTTATGGTCTTCATGTTTGAAAATTTTTCATCTGCCAAACTTTACTGATAATTTTCCTGTTTGTTTTAAAGACAACTCTAATGACAACCAGCACTTCAGATCAAAAAGAGAAGGATAACCACGTATTACCACACTGAGTTGTTATAAGTCTGGCCCCTTAAAAAAGGAAGCCCAGATTTCTTTTAGCCTTTTAACCCTTAAAATAGCCAAAAGGATTTTTGAAGTACTGAAAGTGGATCTCAAGTTGGCATGACTACCTTCAGGCACACGTTTTGTTCTGGGACCTCCACTTTGAGAAACCCTGGTCTCGGGCTAGGTTTCTAGTGGTATAGCTCTTCAGCATTCATCTTTGAAATGGAGATTTATTTCCTCAAGCTCTGCTGGTGGATCATAGGAAAAAATTTTATACCTCTTGACTTGGCTCAGGCTTAGGCACACAAAAAAGCCTCCTGGGCATTACATCAACTGGCACAGAGAAAATGCCCAATAAAAATTTGTTGGATGAATAAGTAAATTGAGCAAATGGCATGTATTTTATAAACCCTTTATGAATAAATCCTGTAAGTATGAGAAGAGAGGTTTACTTAGAGAAAAAGCCATTTACCAGAAATGATTTGAAACCCACAAAGAGCAGATATGGTGGTTCCACAGGCAGTTTTCAACTAAGATTAGTGACTGAAGGGGTCCCAAATAGCACAAAATTCTAAGAGAGGCCAAAGCCCCATCAGGAGTGGCCTTTCTGTGCCATCTCTGGGAAGACTTACTTGTGGTGGTTTGTGCAGTGAGCATAAATCCTTAGTTTGTCCCGGATCACTCTGCCTGGCCGTGGCTTCCGCTGGAGCCCAGCCACATGCACGGCTAAGACTTTGGGCCCAATCAGGCGCTTGTAAAGGAGAGAGAGCCAGTAGTCCTGAGGGAACAGAGAGGCGGAGAGTCAGGGAGAGCACGCAGTTCAGGTGTTCTGGGTAAACATGACAAACACACATGCCAGAAACTATTTCCTACCAGAAGAACAGTGAGTCACGACCAATGGGACCCTAAACCTACAAGCAGGGTCACCCCAACAAACACTAGGTCTGGGCTGATAACAAAGTGGGCACTGTCTAAAGTGTCTTTTTCAACTGACTAAATGCGGAAATGCAGATCAGAACCAGAACAGCATATGAACAAATGAATCAAAGTTTTTCACATACGAAATAACCAAGTGGGGCCTTAAATTTTCAAATTTCTTTTCCTACAACTATACGTTCATATTGGTTTATGACTTCAGTTTAATTGTAGACTGGATCTCCAGTTGTTAGGATTGTTATCTATACGAGAATCCAAAATGTCATTCTTCAAATATCAACACTGAAGACATATGGTGCAGTGGGATGAAGATGAAGCTTCTCCAGGCAGGAGACCAGAGTCCCCCATTCCAGAGCTAGGAGGGCAAACAGAAAAATGTTTGCTAACCATGGTACTAATTCTTTGTCATTTTCAGTAGTTCTACAATAAGAAGACTAATTCTAAACTAAAAAGAATGTGATGCTTTGACCATTCCTGGGTCCATGTGTAACTGATTAATAAATATTCACTCTGTAGCCCACACATGTTTCTGTGCTTACAAAAGCCTATTCACTACCACCTGAATTTCTGTTGTATTTGCTATTATCATATTTTGTTTTTGTATTTGATATAAATATAAAATTTGCATTTATAAATATAAATATAAAAGTTGTGTAAGCTTTTATCACCTATTAGGGAGTAATTACTCAGTGTTTATAACTCATCATGTAAAACAGGCCTTCCTAATTTGTTTAGGGGACCCCACCCACTCCCAATTCTGGAATTCAGTGAACATATTATTCAGTAAATACCCTGAAATGTCTTGAAGACATCAATCATATCTTCTCAGCCTTCATCTTCCCAGGCAGAAGCCTCCTGATGATCTTTGTTTTTCTTGTGTGGTCATTTATAACCTCTTCTGCTTAAAATATTCTGGCGAATTGCATAAATCAGAACAAAGTTTCAAAGCCCCTTTGCCGCAAACATAGCTCCAAATTTGCCCTGAGTAGTGGGCTATAAGCTTTCCCCAACCATTACCTTGATTAATTTTAAGTGGCCTTAGAATGGTTGTTAATTACGGTCTCCTATTATTTAAAATGGCAAATATTCGATCATTGTCAATCATATGTATGAAAAAATATCATTGGCTTAAGTTGCTTCTATTTGATTACAACTCCTGTGTTTTTCATTATTACTTTGTGGAGTGATTATTGCATTCCAATGGGATTTCCACCTATTTCTTACTGATTTGTAACATACCTTTTTTTTTAAGTAATAAAAGTAAAAACTTTAGGGCCGGCCCGGTGGCGCACTGGATAGTGTGCCGCTTGGGAAGCGCGGCGGCGCTCCCGTCCGAGGGTTCGGATCCCACATACAGACCGGCTCCCGCTCACTGGCTGAGTGAGGCGCGGGAGCAACACCGAGGCTTGCGATCCCGTTGCCGGTCCCCGGTCCGGTACGCGGTCAACACTGAGGGTTGCGATCCATTGCCGGACACTGAACATATTATTCAGTAAATACCCTGAAATGTCTTGAAGACATCAATCATATCTTCTCAGCCTTCATCTTCCCAGGCAGAAGCCTCCTGATGATCTTTGTTTTTCTTGTGTGGTCATTTATAACCTCTTCTGCTTAAAATATTCTGGCGAATTGCATAAATCAGAACAAAGTTTCAAAGCCCCTTTGCCGCAAACATAGCTCCAAATTTGCCCTGAGTAGTGGGCTATAAGCTTTCCCCAACCATTACCTTGATTAATTTTAAGTGGCCTTAGAATGGTTGTTAATTACGGTCTCCTATTATTTAAAATGGCAAATATTCGATCATTGTCAATCATATGTATGAAAAAATATCATTGGCTTAAGTTGCTTCTATTTGATTACAACTCCTGTGTTTTTCATTATTACTTTGTGGAGTGATTATTGCATTCCAATGGGATTTCCACCTATTTCTTACTGATTTGTAACATACCTTTTTTTTAAGTAATAAAAGTAAAAACTTTAATATTTAAGTTGGCTACTATCAGCCTTGTATTTTCTCAGTAGCTCCTCTGGTTAGGGATTATTATTCCTATTTTACAGATATGAAAACATAGTCAGAATGTTTAAAGGTATATCTCAGACCACAAAACTAGTCAATGGTAGACCGTGAAAGCAAACAGAGATCTATTTGCCTCCAGTGGCTGTACAACATTTTAATTCACCCTGTGATGTGCAAAGACACAGAATTCAACATAGAGGGTAGGGTAGAATCTGGAAGGATCCTTAATATCGGGAGTTACTGTGATTTAATTTCTGATTTCTATACTTTGGGAGCATTTACAAGACAAGAAAGGCAAAAGCACAAAACATTTGTCCATTTGAACTCACTACAATTTGTTCTTTTTTTCATTCCAATGTCTTATCATCAACGCCCTGGTTTTTATTTAGGAAATCTGAAAAAGCTAAACAGGCTTGTTCCCAAACTTGCATTTAGGCATGGCCATAATCTTGGTGGCCATGGCAATTTTCACTTAAGGTAAGACGTGTTTGTAAGCAAGCCACTCACATTTAGGAAAAAAAGATATTACTTTAATTCTCAATGATTATGTAATGATAAAAAATAAACTTCAGAGAGGTCAACCTAAATAATACCATTATTGAGTGGTAAAGCTGAACTTACACTCAGATTTATTACCTTGAAACCAGTCTGCTTTCTACTACGGGACAGCTAAATGCCAAACCATTCTTCTAAGAAAGGAGATGATGATATCTGGGTAAAGCTCTAATGAGGTTTTGAGATAGACATGTAAAAGAATTGGATGAATTTAATTCCTAATGACCAATACTTTTTTCCCTATTTTTTTAATTGTGACAAAATCCACATAACATAAAATTTACTATTCTAATCACTTTAAGCAGACAGTTCAGTGGTATTAAATAAATTCATAATGTTGTGTAACCATCACCATCATCCATCTCCGTAACTTTTTTATCTTGTAAAACTGAAACTCTATACCCATTAAACATTAGCTTCCTCTTTCCCTCTTCTCCCATCCCTTGACCACCACCATCCTACTTTCTGACTCTATGACTACTCAAAGTACCTCATATAAGTGAACTCAGATAGTATTTGCCTTTTCTGTGATTGGTTTATTTCACTTAGCAATGTCCTCAAGTTCCATCCGGTTGTAGCATGTGTCAGAATTTCCTTCCTTTTTTAATGCTGTATAATATTTCCTTGTATATATATATATTACATTATAGACCCCTTAATTTGTGGCCTAACATAGGGTCTATCCTGGAAAATGTCCCATATGTAATGAGAAGAATGTGTGTGCTATTGTTGGGTAGAGCGCTTGGTGTATGTCTGGACATCTAGTTGGTTTACTGTGTTTTTTTTTTTTTTTCCTTTTTGTCTTTTTTCGTGTCCGGCAACGGATCGCAACCCTCAGTGTCACGCCTGTACGGGACCGGGACCGGCAACGGGATCGCAACCCTCGGTGTTGCGCCTGGACCTCGCTCAGCCAGTGAGCGGGAACTGGTCTGTATGTGGGATCCGAACCCTTGGCGGGAGCGCCGCCACGCTCCCAAGCGGCGCACTGTAGCAGTGCGCCACTGGGCCGGCCCCTACTGTGTTGTTTAATCCCTCTATTTCCTCATCTTCTCTCTGGTGGTTCTATCCATTATTGAGAGTAGGATATTGAGTCTCCAACTATTATTGTAGACTGTCTATTTTTTCCTTCAGTCTGCCAGTTTTTAATTCATATATTTTTATGTTCTTTTATTAGATATATAAACTTATATAACTGTTATATTTTCTTGCTACATTGAATCTTTTATTAATACATAATGTCCTTCTTTGTCTCTTGTAAACTTTATGATTTAAAGCCTATTTTGTCTGATATTAGTACAGTTACCCCTGCTCTCTTTTGGTTACTATTTGTATGGAATAACTTTTTACATCCTTTCAATCTGTTCGTGCCCTTGGATCTAAAGTGAATCTCTTGTAGACAGCATATAGTTGGATCCTGTTTCTTCTTTTAATCCTTTCTGCCAAAAGGTAATGAGAAATGTTTCACTACAAAAAATCAAGACAAAAGAATATAGTAACACAGTAAATGAGGGCCAAAAAAAATTATAAGGTCCTGTGTCCCTAAAAACATAAACTAATAGTTCTTTTAAATACAACTAGACTAATGAACCATTGTTACAACAATATTAGCTCTTATAATTGCCCATGTATTTACCTTTATTGAGATCTTTATTTCTTCATATGACTTCAAGCTATTGTCTAGTTTACTTTCATTTCAACCTGCAAGACTCCCTTGAGCCTTTCTCGCATGGCAGGTCTAGTGGTTACAAATTCTCTCAGTTTTTGTTTTTCTGAGAATGTCTTAATTTCTCGGTCACTTTTGAAGGAGAATTTTGACGGATATAGAAATCTTGGCTGACAGTGTTTTTCTTTTAGCACTTTGACTGTATCAGCTCTGTGAAGGTTAATTCTAGGTGTCAACTTGATTAAAGAATGCCAAGAAACCTGGTAAAGCTGTCTTTTTAGGTGTGTCCATGAGAGTGTTTCCAGAAGAGATTAGTGTGAGAACCCGAGTGGACTGGGTGGGAAAGATCTGCCCTCAATATGGGTGGGAACCATCTAGTCTGCTGGGGGCCTTAAGAGAACAACAACAATAACAAAAAATAGAGAAAAGAGGTGAATTGCAATATATGTATATCATTATATACTGATAAAAAAAAGTTATATGTGATTCTATGTCTGAATTTTCTATTCTTTTCCACTGAACTTGCCATTTTCAAAAAATCTGTTTCACATCATTTAAATTATTATAATTTACATTTTAATATCTAGAGGCTCAGTTCCATTTTATT